CTTGCTCCCACCCTATTTTGTGGTTTTCACCTTTAAAAAACTATGCCTGTATCACTAAAGGCGCACTCTGTTCCTGCATGTGCAGACCGCCCTACGTATACGTAGATAATAAAACTTTCCCTTTGTGATTTGCATGAGAGACCGACTCTTGGGGTCTTCCTTCATGGCGACTGAACCCTTACAAGATCTTTAATCCATTTTGACCTTCGCTTAGTGCATGGTGATAGACCCAGGTCAAGTTTTAGTTTTCGGCATGTAGAGAGCCAGTTTTTCCAGCATCATTTGTTAAAGAGGCTATCTTTTTTCCAGTGAATATGTTCAGCCCCTTTGTCAAAAATAAGTTGGCTGAGTGTGTTCCTAGGGGCTTCAGCATCTTCTAATCTATTCCATTTATCCCCAGGTCTATTTTATTGCCAGTACCATGCTGATTTTATCACATTAGCCTTGTAGTATAATTTCAAGTCAGGAATTGTAATGCCTCCTGCCTTGTCTTTATTACTCAGGATTGCCATTACTATTCTAGGTCTTTTCTGGTTCCAAATAAATTTTAGGAATGATTTCTCCAACTCTGTGAGGCTTGTTGGTGTTAGTTGCATAGGGATTGCATTAAATCTGTACAGCAATTTTGGGAGTATGGTCATCTTCACAATTTTGGTTCTTCCTACCAGGAGCATGGGATATCTTTCCATTTTCTGAAAACCTCTACGATCTCTTTTTTAAGAGTATTGTAATTTTCCTTGAAAAGATCTTTGACTTCTTTAGTTAGATTAATTCCAAGCTATTTCCTTTTCATTGATGCTATTATAAGAAGTATTGTTTGTATAATTTCCCTCTCATGAGTTTGTTATCTGTGTAAAGGAATGCTATTGACTTTTGCGTATTGACTTTATAACCTGCTTTGCTACTGAATTTCTGTATTAATTCTAGTAGTTTCTTGGTGGAGTTTTTTGGTTCCTCCAAATAAAGTATCATGTCATCTGCAAATAAAGATAATTTAACTTCTTCTTTGCCTATTCTTATTCCTTTGATTTCTTTCTCTTGTCTAATGGCTGTAGCTAATGATTCCAGAACTATATTGAATAGGAGTGGTGATAGAGGATATCCTGGTCTTGTACCAAATCTAAGAGTAAGAGATTTCAGTTTTTCCTCATTTAGAGTTATGTTAGCCATTGGGTTTTCATAAATGGCTTTTACCAGATTGAAGTAGAGGCCAACTATTCCAATTTTCTGTAGGATGTTGAACATGAATGAGTATTGGACTTTGTCAAAATTCTTTTCTGTATCAATTGAAATGATCATGTGGTTTTTAGTTTTTGCTCTATTGATATAGTGTATTACATTGATAGATTTCTGAATATTGAACCATCTTTGCATCCCTGGGATGAATCCTACCTGGTCATGGTGTATGATCTTCTTGATGATTTGCTGTACTCTATTTGCTAAGATTTCATTGAGGATTTTGCTATCTATGTTCATGAGGGAGACTGGCCTGTAGTTCTCTTTTTTAGTTGTGTCTTTCCCTGGTTTTGGTATCAGTATAATACTTGCCACCAGGACTGATTTTGGGAGGATTGCTTCCTTTTCAATTTCAAGGAAGAGTTTGAGGAGTATAGGGAGTACACTCTGTGTAAATTTCTTGTATAATTCAGCTGTGGGTCTATCCAGACCTGGACTTTTCTTTGTCTGTAGGTTTTTTATTACATCTCATATTTCATTGGCACTTATTGGACTACTGAGAGTGGTTATATCTTATCCATTCAGCTTTGGTAATTTGTGCCTTTCTAGGAATCTGTCCATTTCTTCTGTGTCTTCTATTCTGCAAGAGTAAAAATTCTCAATGTAGCCATTGATAATCTTCTGAACTTCCACTGGTCTGTGGTAATTACAACATTTTCATTCCTTATTGCTTGTATTTGAATTATTTCTTTCCTGTTTTTGATGGCGTTAGCTCGGGATTATCGATTTTATTTAATCTTTTAAAGAACCAGCTTTTTGTTTCATTATTTTTTTGAACTGTTTTCTTTGTCTCAATTGAATTAATTTCTGCTCTCATCTTTATGATTTCTTCCCATCTATGGGATCTTGGTTTTGTTTGCTCTTCCATTTCTAGTTGTTGGAGGTTCAGCATTACGGTGTTTGTTTGTTCCCATTCTGTTTTCCTAATGTGTGAGTTCACAGTTATGAATTTCCATCTAAGAACTGCTTTCATCATATCGTATAATTTCTGATAAGTTGTCCTTGTATTTTCATTGAATTGTAGATATTATTGAATCTCTTGTTTAATTTCATCTGTGACTCATTGGTTGCTGAGTAGGGTGTCTTTTAATGTCCATGTATTTAGGGTGTTTTTCTGATTTCTTTCATCATTCATTTCCAGTTTCATTGCATTGTGGTCAGGTAATATGCATGGGATAATTTCTGTTTTCTTACATATACTTAAGCATGACCTATAGACCAGTATGTGGTCCATTTTAGAAAATGACCCATGTGCAGCTTAGAAAAACGTGTATTCAGCTGTGTTTGGGTGGAACACTCTGTATGTGTACATCAGGTCCATTTGTTTCAAGCTCTGGTTCAGTTCTGGTTTTTCTTCGCTAAGTTTTTGTCTGGTTGTGCTTTTTTTGTGATAAGGGGGTGTTAAAGTCTCCTGTTAAGATTGTCGTATTGGATATTAAATTTTTCATGTCCATTAAGATTTGCTTTATATAGTTGTGTGCTCCCGTGTTTGGTGCAAACATATTTATGAGTGTTACCTCTTCCTCTTGAATTTTTCCCCTATCCAGTATATAGTGGCCTTTTTTATTTCACTTGATCATTGTTGGTTTGAAGTTGAGACTGTCTGCAAATAGGATTGCTACCCCTGCTTTTTTCTGTAGTGCTGGGGCA